AGAGAGAGAGAGAGAGAGAGAGAGAGAAAGAAAGAAAGAAAGAAAGAAAGAAAGAAAGAAAGAAAGAAAGAAAGAAAACAGAAATACCAGGAAAACAGCAAAGTTCTATTATTATTGTGGTATCTGGCACCATTTTTTTTATTAGCTTCCTAATCATGATCTGGAAAGAAAACATTCTAGAGTAACATCATTAAAAACAGCTTTGAAGGGCCGGGGAGATGGCTCAGTAGAATAAGCGCTTCCCTGGCAAGTGCAAGGGCCTGAGTTCAATCCCCGGTTCCATCAAAAAACAAACAAGTGAACAAAAAAAAAACCCAGCTTTGATAAAGTACAGTCACTACCACATATCATAAAGCAGGTACAAGATATTTTATATTCACAGAGGTATGATACTGTCCTACATCTATAATACTGTAAATTTCATAAAAATTTTCAGTGAAGAGCACCAGGTGTGGTAACACACACCTGTAATCCCAGCACTCAGGAGGCTGAGGTAGGAGGATCACTGGGAGTTCAAGACCAGCCTGGGCTACAAAGTAAGCTTCAGGTCAGCCTAACTGCCCAGGGAGTCCCTGTCTCAAACACACACACACACACACACACACACACACACACACACACACAATTTCAGTTAAGGAGATAAACCACCTCGTGGAGAAGGCTTCCAACTTTGTGGCAAATAAGAAATAACAAATGGAGAGCGTCGTCCAGGGAGTCCTGCTGCTGGAGACAGGACTCTTTCTGAGCAGATGACCAACCTGTAAAGGAAGACTCCCCCTCTTCTGGGTATCGGAATCAAGGAACACTTCCAGCTTGTCAGGCTGTGTACTTCCTGTGATCGGGGCCAGCTGGTCTGGCTGTCAGGAGCATAAGGGTTAGCTGTTCCTATATTAAGCTGGTGTGACTTCCTTTGCCATCCATCTTGGTTACCTCCTGAAATGCTTCAGCTTAAGCCGGGCTTCAGAACGCCCTCCGTAAGGATAGAATTGGAAACAAACCGACCTTGTGGGTCCCCTGGTAAGCATTCAAGAACTCCTTAGGTATTATCTGGAGGGTCCCCACGACCATGCTGACCAGGCAGCAGGTCACATGTCACCTTTCTGACTGAAAAGAAGTCTCCAGTGTGCCTGTTTCTCACACTTAGGAAAGATTGTGTTTCAGCAGGTGGGAAAACTTGCCGGCTGGCACAGTGTGTGTAGGAAGGAGAGCCAGGCCAAAGGTTAGCAGTCAATCACTGCCTTGATGAGGCCTGGGGCAGGAGTAGTTAGCAAATTGTTCAGAGGAAAAGCCAATAGTAGGGTACATGACTGGGATCTTCTGGGGTCAGTCCTAAGGGTCCCCTGAGGGGAACTGAGAGCTGAATTTGCTGTAGAAGCCTCCAGAGTAGGCAGCAAAGGGACTCGCCTAGGGGAATGACTGCGGTCATGTGATCAGCTAGCCTAGCTCCTTACTTTTGTCACAAGAAAAATTAAAACTATGGCACAAATGTACAGAAAAGGTGTTTTCATTGGGAAGCTAGAGGGAAGATAAGAAAGGATTCCAGTTTAGGCAGCACAAGACAGCACCCTCTTGTTACAGGGGTGTAGATGGTCCAGTGACAAAGGCGGAAGACCAGCTCTTAAGGAGTAGCTAGTGGGCCGGGCTCCCGTGGTTCATTATCTGAGTCCCAGTGTCATAGATCTAGAACCTTTACAGCTGGGAGGTAGTTCTGTTCAGAAAAAACAAAAACAAGTCTCTGGGTATCTCTGGAGGAAACCCCACTCATGCTTTGAATGTGCAGCAGGCAGGGGCCCAGGATTCTCTGTTTCCTCATCCCTGTAGTAATCCTGACTGTTTAATTATTCTTGTACACACAAAGTAGGCTTACCCAGGTAGGTCTCTTTTACTCCTGAAGTGAATGTCTCTATTTAGTCTGTTTTGAGACCTTGAGATTTTCTCAACTGCCTACCAATAATGTGAACTTTATATGGGCCCTGGACCTTAACTACTTGTCTGGATTCTATACACAGCTAATGACCAAGTGAGGAACAGCCACATCTCCTTTGCTTTCCAAGTGGCCTCTCTGCTGCCTGCCTCCAGCCTGCTAAGGACTGCCTTTCTGCCTAACATGATGACAGCATCAGCTGCAGGGTGATTTTATTTAAAAAACGAGGTCTTTTCTCACTATGTGGAAGAAATGAAACCAGACCAGTTGCTGTGACAGTCACTTTGCTCCATAGAGCCCCTCATTCTATGCAAACCATACATTTTCACATCAGTGAATTTTGTTACCCTCGCAACCAATCCATGTTGGAGTATGTTTCCTGGACCCACTCTACAGAAGACAAAACTGAGGTGCAAAGTAATGACAATGAGTTATGTAGGGTCTCTGGTCAAAGCGAAATCTCTTGCTATACAGATCAGCAATCTCCTAACACATCAGTATTATCTCTTAGTTATTGTGGACTGAGCCAGCCCACAAGCTCCCAAATAAGTTCACAGCAAAGGCTTAAGTAAATGAGTCAAGGGAATGATTTTACAGCTCCAGGAAGATCAAAAGCCTCTAACAGAATTCAAGATTCTCTCTGGGCTGAGACAAAGATCTTTTCTGGGTGGCCTGCATTTAGTTATCGGAACCAAGATGGAGAACACTGAAGAAAGGCAAGACTCAGTCTGCTCAAGTGCTTCTCCTGTAAGATGTTAATTTAGGAGAACTGTGTCATATCTCCAGGAAGATCCCTACCCAGGAGTGACATGCCTACAGCTATAGCTTTTACCTGGTTAACAGAGTCTTCTCCTTTGAGGCGTCAAACACCATTGCAGGCCTCAGTGGGGACCAGTGACTCACAGAGATTCACTTACTACAAGTCCCCCGCCATCTCCAGACGAGGGGCCCGGGCTTTGGACAGACTCACGAGTAAACATGGAAGCCAGTAGGTCATTTAAGTCCTACTCAGAGCCGCTCTCTAGTGGTGTCTCTGTCACCTCCCACTGCTCTGTACTTTTTTCTCCTCCCTCATTTGATCTGGGGAGGGGAGGGGAGATGAGGACTCCAGCCCACTGGAAGCATGAGTCCCGTAGGAGATGCCGAGGAAGTAGCCTCTCGGGTAATCTTGGTACTGCAGTCTGGGCTAAAAGCTGTGGAGGAAAAGCTCCAAGTCAGGCTGCCAGGTAGAAGTACCCACTCAGGTGGGGAGGTCACAGAGTTCTGCAAACACATTTGAGCTGTGAGCTAAAGGCAGAGGGGCAGGAAGGGAAGATGGCCTGGAAAGAAGACTTTTGAGAAGACAGATACAAGTTTCAGTGTTCTTGAAGACCCAAAACCATAAAATTACGAAGGTACTGGGAAAGTAGGCCGAGTCCCGCCTCCAAGGCCTAGTAAGGAGTGGGTTTTTATCCAGAGAGCAACAGGAAGCCAGTGACTGGGGACAGCTCTTGAGGTGCAATAAAAATAGTCTCAACAAGTGGGAAGGAAGCCTAAATTCTAGACTCAACTCTGCCACCTCCATGCTGGGGGACCTGCCCAAATCTTGGCTCTCTGTTGGAACTCCATTTCCTAATTCATGCCAGGGAAGTTGGTGAATGGCTTCTGTTTGCTGTCATGTTTCTAGGACAGAGCAAATATAATGGCCTTCAAACCTGGTCCCACTGCTATTTCAAATGTTACCTGCCCTGAGCCTTTTAGGAACTTGGTAGTCAAAACTTCTGGGCTGTGCTGTTCCCTGAGCTTGTGCTCCTGAGTGCTGAGTTGTTCCTCATTTGGAGGCCACGGAGAAAGAAGTTGGCTGTGTTATGGTCTCACAACAGGCTCTGCCTTTCTTTCCATCAGGGACAGAAGGGAGATAGTGGAGTCGTGGGCCCACCTGGCAAACCTGGGCCTTCTGGTCAACCTGGCCGTCCAGGCCCTCCAGGCCCCCCAGGCCCCCCATCTGCAGGTAAGAGTTAAACTGCCTCACTTAGTCACCAGGGGTACTTTCTGGTCAGCTGCGCTAGAGGGGGACAAGGAGACACCTGAAGAACTCTGCCTTATGTCTCAAAAACTGCCAAAGGCACCTAACTATTTCTCCATAGTTTGGCTCATTCTCCTTTTACATAATATAAGCCTGGAGAGATAGCTTGGTGGTCTAAGCACCTGCCTGGAAAACACTAGGACCCAGGTTCAATCCCAGGTACCGCACGCTGTGCTGGTCCTGGAACCCTGGGTGCACCATGCTGGCCACTGAAACGGGATGTGTTGGCGCACGCCTGTAATCCCAGCACTGGGGAGGCTGAGACAGGACGATCATGAGTCTGAGCTGCGTAGTGAGACCCTGTATCAAATAAATAAATAGATAAATAATAAAAATATATAGAAGTATAAAAGTAATACATAACACCATATGAAAGAGTCCCATTTATTTGCATTGAAGATAGAGAAGAATTTCTAAAAAGAAATCTAAAGTCCATGACTGAGGAGGGCACAAATACATCACTACCTTGTTTGACCTTTTTATTTATTTATTTATTTATTTATTTATTTTGGTGGAACCGGGGCTTGAACTCAGGCCCTTGCACTTGCCAGGGAAGCGCTTATTCCACTGAGCCATCTCCCCAACCCCTTGACCTTTTTAAATGTGGCGAGCTGTGAGCTTTACTTTGTTCCCTTGCAATGCCTTGCAGACAGCATCTCTGGGTAAAGAAAACAAAACACTGCCCACTGTGCAGGGGTTCTTTTGTCCTTCGTTTATAAAAGGAATCAAAACAACTTTTATTCCAACTTGTTCCTTTGAAAAGGAAAGGCATTTTAAAATCCCACCCCATGTTTTCCCCCAGGTTTTGGGGCATGTACTTGTAGCCACATTACAGGACAGACAGGAAATATATGTTGTTAGAGTCTTTAAACCAAACTGAGGCTGGCCTTAGGACTCCAGCCTGCCAGCACGCCGAGAACATCCAATTTTAGGCATCACTGGAGTCCTCTTTGCCTCTCCAGCTGTGACAACAGGATCAGGCAAAGATCCTGGTGAGTGATGGTGGAAAAATAGTGGAGGAGGCTGCCCCAGCCTTGATCTACCTTTCACTCTGGAATATTTGCTTTCTGAGTCTGTGGCCCTGATGCCTTCGCCTGCTGCCTCCTGCTGGTGCTTGAGCATCAGAACATGTGCAGGGATAGGAGTCTGTGTTTTGGGGTTCAATTTATTGAGGAGCACTCATGACCACTATGAGTCTTTATCTCTTTCCCAGAATGCATCGCTTCTTGGCCTTTGGCTAAGGTCAAGTATAGTATCTTCCCCGGGATACAGGGTCCGTCTCTCCCTTCTGTCTAGGGATATCCCTCCGCTTCTACCTTTCAACTAGTTCTAGGCTGGACCTGGATGTGAGGTGCGCATGGCCCATAATCTGCCTCTGTGAGCAGCTGGGTGAGCTGGTTGGTCCTTTCACTTAGTCCTCATCCTCTTTGGTTCTAGCAAGCAAAGGTTTCCCCAGAGCCCCATGACCCTGAGCTGCCAACTCTAGAGACTGAGAAGTGTGGGTTTCGAGGTCATTGGCAAGCTGAAAGCTTGTCTGCCATTGTAAAGGCTCCTGGTACCTGGCTTGGACTCTGTTTCCATCCTGGGCTCTGGGGCTGAATGAGAAGGCCAGGTCTGGGGATCAGCAGCAGCGGCTCAGAAGCTCCTGGTTTCATCCTGTGTGTCTCTGGAGAATTGCAACTCTGCCCCTTAGCAAGCTTGTCAGAGTCCAGGGCACCCTCCCAGCCCTTCTGGCTCCTTCTCTTCCAGCGCAGTATCCGTCTCTTTCCCCCCACTACCCCATCCTCTGCCAGAGCCCTGCCTGAGCGGCATCTGCCCTCCAGCAGACACTAGGTTCTCTGCCAAACTGGAACATTATCCTGTGGTCTCTCTGGGTTCAAGTGACCTGAGATGACTCTTGTCGTCCAGTACACACCCAAACCCCCAGCTTCCCCAAAGGGCTCTCTTCAATAAGAATATACCGGCAGGTCACCCCCTCTTGAGCCGGGCACATGGTGCCTTTCTGTTGTGGCCCTGCATTGGGCACTGTTCCCTGCAGATGTGTTCCATCTTCCTGCTGGGTGATGGGTCCCTCAGGGAGAGGTCTATGACTGAGGCAGCTCCACGTCCCCCATGGCACCTGGTGACAGAGGAGCAGGGCTGTCCCCGCAGGTGCTCACAGCCCACCCCTGCTGGGTTACAACCAGCAGCCAGCAGGATGAGGCTCCTCTCTTTGAACCAATGTTCCCCTCTCTGTCTCTCAGAGAGAGGGGAATGAAGAGGGGAGAAAGAAAAACTAGAACGATAATCTTTTGCTTTGTAGGGGGTTGTGGTCAGAGAAAGGTGGAGGGAAGAGTTTAACACCCCTGTACCTAAGACCAATTGGGTAAGTGGCCACTGTTGGCAAGGCGCCAATAGGATCCTGAGGTCTCCTCTGAGAGTCTGATAAAAAGTCCTGAACCTGCTCTTGGGAAGGAACTGTGTACCCACACCCAAAATTCTGAAGCCCTCCTCCGAAGCCATCCTGTGGCAGCCTGGAGTTGCACTAATCAGGCGCTAACCTCCCCTGTCCCAGTCCTTTCATGGACAAGACCCCGGAGCCTCAGCGAGAAGAGCTGACTCGTGCCGCCTGGCCCAGGATCAGTCTGCACTGCCTGTGCTACGCAGCCCCTGAAGATTGTCGCACTGGCCTTGCTGCCTTCTCCCGAGTAGCAAGGTTGAGGTGGGGAGCTCCGGTTGCTGTGCCCTTCAGGGCAGCCTGGCAGGAAGCAGGCAGGGGTAACGGATGCCCTCCAACAGCTGGGAGGAAGTGGCAGGGAAACTGCTATGATGGCATTAGGCTCCCCGCCATGTCCTGTCAGGAGACCCTTGTACCCAGCACCATGAGGCCAGCTGTTGCTGGGGAGGTTGGAGAAGCCAACCTAAAAGGCTCGGGCCTTTTAGCTACCTGAGTGTTGGAGAAAGAGGGGCTGGAGGTTGAGGAGGGAATAAAGGCAAAATGCCTTTCAGATGTGATTTGCAATAATCAAGTTCAAATTTGGCTGTGTCCTTCCTGCACCCAGGCGGGGGACGAGTGAATCAGTGTGGTACCTGGGAATTGCCAGCTTCCTGAGAGCATCGATGCTGAGGAGTCTGTCTTTTGGATGGTGCACGACTAGGCCACACATAAGTTCAAATCTCAGCCTCTCCACTGACTGGCTGGATAACTGGAAAAATTCCTGAGTCTCTGAGACCATGACTCTGGGGGTGTCACTGGGGCCACAGAGCCTCGTGGAAGGTTGCTCCGGGGCCATGCTCATGCCCCTGCTCACAGATCATTCCCACTTCATTTCCCCCAAGTGCTTAACGACCCAGAAGAGCCCTGGGCTGATGGACTGTATCCTCTGGGCCCATCTGGAAGTGTCAGGACACAAGAGTGCAGCTCTTCACACAGAATCATGTCTGTATTTCTTGCTAGGTCAGACATCCCTCAGTGGCCTAGAAGCTGGCAGCCTCCTCTTGCATGTGCTGTCAGAGGCTGATCTTGAACAGATCTGCCCACCAGCCTAGGCCTGAGTGGGGGCTACGGGAGTGGGGGTCTTTCCACCAGCTGTTTCCTCCTGATTCCAACCAGACTTGTTTCTTGAAATGGTTTTATTTCCTGCACCTCTGGGCATCTAGACACAGAGTGCCCAGTTCCTGAATGCCCCAGATTCTGCCTGAAGCCAATGTCTGGCTGCTCTCTAATTCCTCTTATTTTTCCAGGAAGGGTACATATGCATTCCTTCTCAGTCCTAGCTTGTCTTCTACTTCTTCTCCACCTATTTGATAGACTTTTTTTCTAACACCTTTCTGCCAGCCAGGGTGTGACTTCTAGCCTTTCTTCTCCAGTTAGTCTGCATCCATCCACCCATCCATTCATCTATCCATCCACCCACCCACCCATCCATCTACCCATCCATCCATCCGTCCATCCATCCATCCATCCATCCACCCACCCATCCATCCACCCACC